TACGATATAAAACTAAAAAAAATAACATAGTTTAATAAGTAATATCAGGATCGTATAATTAATATACTTAAATATTTCTTATCAAAAAATTTTAATGGATTTGGTCTGACGGAGATTTCCTCCGAAATGCGCGTGGCAGTTAATGTGTGATCGAACGAAAAGTGCAGCGTTGGCTCGAAAAATTTCGGTCTGGTGATTTTTCCCTACAAAATGAACCGCGTGGAAGACCCAAAACGTCTGTGAATAATGATGTTCTGAAAGCATTGGTGGAAACGAATCTAACTGTATCTACAAGGGAACTTGCTATCAGAATAAAAATCGACCATACAACAATATTGCGACACCTTTCTGAAATTGGCAAGGTGAAAATATGGATAAGTGAGTACCGCCCGATACTTCTCCACGAAAACGCTCGGCCGCATACATCGTACAAAACGATTGCAAAATTAAATGAGTTAAAATATGAAATTTTGCAACACTCAGCTTATTCACCAGATCTTTCGCCAACCGACATTCATTTCTTCAAACATTTAGAACTGATTTTACGGGCTAAACACTATGAAAATGAAGACAGTCCGAAGAATTAAATATCAGAGTTTATTGATTCCAAAAATCAGAATTCCTTTAAGACAGGCATTTATGCATTAAAATCTCGTTGGGAAAAGTATATTCAAGCAAATGGAGCGTATGTTGATTACATAAACCATTTTTGAAAAAAGATATGGAGTTTTATATATTCAGATAAAAATCCGACATTTCACACGCACCAACGTAATATTTGAAAAAAACGAAATAAGCGCATTAAATGTCTTTTTATGACAGTATTTTGAATCAATGAAGATATATATTTAAAACATATATTTAAAAACACTGTTTTACCGCCCATTTTTGATGGGATATTTAAAGGTTCGTAAAGAATAATTATTAAAAAGTATTTGGGAAATATTAAACAAACATTCACTTTGCAAAAGTGTAAGATAAAATTAAATCGCGGTTATATGGAGTTACTAGTATGGATTTAAGATTATAAAAAAAATTTATTTTTATATTTCTTTATCGTATTATATAAATTGCATTATACAAGTGTATAACATAAAAATATTTTTAAACAAAAGAAATTACAAATTTCCGTGAATACAGATATTTTTTGTTTGTAACATGAAAAGTTTAGGTTAATCTATACATTTTATTTACAATAAATGATAATATCAACTACATATGTTAATTATAAACAATAAATATACTTATTAGATATTTAATAATTACACTTTTGCTTATTTTCTATCGGTCAGTAACAGATGTAATGTAAATGTGGCTTAAAGTTTATTGGATATGGATACACATAACTTTATCTAAACTTATTATTTTATATTTATAATATAAACTCTTACCATACTTGATTAATTTTGTGACGTAAACGATTATCTGAGATGTGCCTTTTCCTCACATACCCGTGACCAGATAACATCTTATGACCCACATTCTATATCTTACGTAAATAGACCTTAACGTTGCCAACTGAGCATTGTTGTAATCGTATACAACACTAATAGCACAATTGCGAAACGCAGCTGAAACACTAATAGTTGTTGTACGAGTATCATTCTGTCTTCATCTGATAATGTGTGAAATTAACAGACACAATATCGCCTAATAGATATAATGTTGCAGAGCACATTTTCCAAAACAAGATCAAATATTATATAAAATTTCTTATCTTCCTTTCCTTTCTTGTTCACAGATAAACTCCAAGGTTGGACTACGAAGGATTCGCCAATCTTCATTTAAATATTCCTATCACGATGATGCAACAAAAAAACACTCAACAGCGTACAATGAAAATTTGGAATAAAGAGAAACCCAAGGAAAATTACAACGGGAATTCATCAAAGGACAATACATATAATATTTCCTGCAGTGAAGAAAAAATCGCAGAGTCATCTTCTTTCACTCCCCTCCAATTTTCCGTCCATAATAACTCGAACGAATCGATGAACCCTCCGTTTAAACGCAATGAACCAAACAATCAAAATGACGATCATGTACTCTTCGTGAAGTTGTGCAAACAGAAGTTGGATAGAGGCGAATTGCCGGCAAATTTCGATCAATGGACAGATGAACAGCAACATGATCACCTGATGAGCAACGTTGACAAGTACTTCCCGAATATACCGGCATCCTTAAGATTCATTCTGCCTGGTATCTTCAAGGACGGAGACTGCGGCCGATCTGCGAGCGAGAGGCCGGACTGGCTGGACATGGACAAATTCCGCCGTGGACAGAAGTTTGCTCAGAATTACTTCTTCGGGATCTGCATGGCCCAGATAATGTCTCTCTTTTACATATTCAATTATGAGGATGGACTGAAAACTTTGATCCTCAGCCGGAAGTCCGATACGCCGTATCGAGCCTTTAAACGGTACCTGTCAACTGTGATTCGCGTGAATCGTTGGTGCCTGGAGGACCCGTGGGACCAAAAGACACAGGCTCATAGAGATATCCAAGAGGTGCGCAGCATGCACCTGGCGATGAGACGGAGGCTCTGCAATTACAACTACGAGCAGATCGACGCAAAATCCAAGATCTTGCGTCCTTACTGTCCGATGCAGAAGATACTCGCGCAAGATTTCAAGGACACGTGTCCGATGGCGAACGACCTTCAATGTCCTTTTATGATGACTCGAACTAAGAGTATCAACCAAGGCGNATCTCAACCAAGGCGACATGTCCTGTACGCAGTCTTCGTTCATGAGTATGATAGTGTTCTACCCTGAGAAGTTTGGCGTGCACGACGTCAGCGACGATGACTTGGAGGCCTTCTGTCATATGTGGCGAGGGCTGGGCTACCTTCTGGGAATCGAAGATCGTTACAATTTCTGTCGTGGCAGCCTGCAGGAAGTACGGCAGCGCATCAAGGATTGCTTAGAATATTGGATAAAACCGAACCTTACATTAGTGACGCCGGAATGGGAACACATGTTGGTATGTCTCTGGAAAGGAATGCGTTATTACCTGCCGATTTCGACTTATAGAGTGTACTTACTCTATTTTTGCAATGCGTTAGGATTAAACATGCCCGGCCTTCACAAGTCTTTGAGTTTTATGGAGAAAGCGATGTATTTATTGACGACCTTTGTATTCATGTACTTTGCGAGGTTGCCAGTCTTTGTTGCTATCACGAACACAATAACTCGCAGATGTCTGAATTTGGCGGTAAACTTTAGACCCGAAAAACATCACGAACTCAGAAAGAGATCTGATGAAAATATATTGTAGTAGTTAATTTATAAAAATATCTGCCAAAGTAACGGGCCGACGTCGGATGACGTATTTACATTTATACTGACACTCGGTATACTCTCGTCATATGATCCCAGAAAAAAATGATTATATACGGTTATGTATAATTATATAGAATCATGTATAAATTTTGCAGTATATGTGGTTACATATATGATCATATTTATGTATATGTCCATATAAAAAAAATTATGTCGTTTAATTAAATATCGATATCATGTGCTGTCAGAAGTACAAGTAGCACAGAAGCATTTATTTTGATTATATTTGCATATTATTTGTAAAAAATAGTATTTTACGTTGTGGACATATATGTGTAGAAAAGTACCAAAAGAAATGACGGAGCACGCGCGGTTTGAATCAGATATCAATATATTGAACTTTAAATCTGTCGTTATCGGACCTTGAATCTGTCGTTAGATACGATAGGTGTCATGTATGCAAATTAAACCATTCTGAACAAAAACACTCCTTCACTATTTGGCAAATAATATGCAAATTTTCGAGTTTCTAATTAAAGAAGCCTCTATACGTGGCCATTTTCAGTTACTAATAACTCGAAATTTTGCGTTTGTTTGCAAAATGACAGAGGACTTTTTTGTTCACATTGTCCTGCTTCTCTTTTACGTCGAAGACACCCTGTAAGTTTCTTTCTATTATCTGTACATCTGCATTAGGTCAACGAATGCATAGAAATAGTATTGTAAGAAAAATATATAATTAGAAAATAAAAGCAATATTTTAAAAATGTCAGATAGCTTTTCTCCTCAGTTTAATTCTACTTTTACATGAACAGTTGTGCAAAACATACCAGACATTCTGTATAATTATATATATATTATACTATATAATATAATTATAATATATAATTATGTATAAAATTTTTCCCCGCGTAATGTAATTGAATTTCTTAGTGTTCTTGGAACGCATAGTTATATATCTAATAATAAAACTCTTGCCATACGAAACTATTTCTCTCCCTCTCTCTCTCTCTCTCTCGCTTTCTCTCCCCCTCTCTCCCTTTCTCTCTCTCTCTCTCCCCCTCTTAGCGATTGCGGATAACAAATGGCAAAATTGGTCAAAAGCTTTCTGAAATGGACTACTCGATTATCAAATAAGTTTCAGCTTTTAACTCTTTCTCCGACTAATTCTTCCGCCTTCCGGTGTTTCCTCTCTTATAGATGATAAAGACATTCGCAGATATTTTTCCGGCTCTTGTCTTGTATTTTCTCTCTTTGCCGTCAGCTGATATTGATTTTTCGATATATTTTGTCTTGATAATGCATATATGTTTTACACACATGCATCGATGCTTCTTACGTCTCGACTATCACCATGTTAAAAGTCTCATGTAGGAAATTTTTAATCTTAACTACGTAAATCTGTAAGAAAATTCAATAGTGACAATTTTAATTTTTCTCACGATCAAAGAAAATCCCGATTGTGATTGGTTAATTTTCCTATGGGATCACTATTAACCCTTTGCACTCGAGGCCTTTTTCGCTCGCGTGAACCAGCAACTCGAGACGATTTCGGCTAAATTAGGGGAGCATTTTACAAGTACTTTAAATCATTTATACTCAAACAAACGTATACAAATAATAAAATTTCACCAATTCATTAATTTTTATATTGAATACAACAAAATTTGGTAAATATTACACTCTGTAATTAGTTTTCGTGTGATATTTCGTAAAACAATGCCCAAGATGCATCCTAGGTTTATCTGGACACGTATCACAATAATATGTTACTTCCCGTCTACCGCCAGACGTGTTACGGTCAGAGCAAACCTTGCAGTCCCTTTTTGGCCCTTTTAATACTATGTGAAGCTTCCCATTTAGTCGGGTTTCATCGGTATGCGACGTCGACGCTTGCTCACGATGCTGGCGATATGATCCTCTCAATTGCTCGACAAGTGTAGTCCACGAAAGCACTTCAGTTAGAAACATCGTATCTTACATCGTAAATAAACAGATCGAGTTACAATACACCGTAGCGTCGTAGCAGCGCATTTCGATTGGACGCATGAAATCTTCCGAGCGCCGTACCAGCGCCGCTCGAGTTGACGCTTCAAATCGGCCGGATGCCGTATCGGCGCCGCTGAGTGTGAACGGCGCACCGTGAAAAAACATGATTAATGCTGCCGATTACATCATTACATAAACTGTGCTACAAGAAATATTAGAAGACTGATTTGAATGTCATTGTATTATTTGCATATATTAATGTACTTTGACGCAAGGCGTTTTATCGTCAAGGCTGGTTACGTTGTTATATAATGTTTGGCGCATTATTTCCCGCGTTCAGATACTGTGAGCGCGCGTGCAGATATTCTGCTGAGTAATAGGAATATGATAAACGGAATTTCGTAACTTCACTTATTGTAAGTTTAACCAATAGTCATTTTGTTTTTTTTTTACGTAAACAATCACTTGCGGTCATTTATATCACAAATTAAAATTAACTATTATTGACAAAATATAGCACATTATCATGTTTATCATCCACGCTCTATGATTTATTATTATTTATTACTGGAGACGTTGTAGATAGTGATTCACACTCTTTTTGAAAAAAATAAAGACAAACCCTTAATAAATAATGCGAACGTGTGTGTCTCCCTGCTTTCGTTATGCTTTTGTTTTTGGCATAACCTCTTTTACAGTCGTACTCTCCACTGCCAGAGTTATATTTTAACAAAAAAGATTTTTTTCAAAAGTGTGCCCTTTTGTTGTCTGTTTTGAATTTTGTACGGATATGAATTCAACCGATATTAGTGTAATTTTTTTATATGAATTTTGTTCAAAATTCCAATTGAATCTCAACGGAAAAAGTTCATGTTATCATGCTCATCACACGTGAGCCGAGCATAATGCGGAAAACGAGCCGCGATCTCGAAACAATAACACGCGGATTGCGAAATGACAACAAACCAAATAAATATGAAACACGCGTGTCTGATCACGCACCAACCTAACATTAAAAAAAAACGCTCAGAATTACTTCTTCGGGATCTGCGTGGCCCAACTGGTGTCTCTCTTTGTCATATTCAGTTTTGAGGATGGGCTGAAGACGATGATCCTCAGCGAAAAATCCGATACGCCGTATCGTGCCTTCAAGCGGTACCTATCGACCGTGGTTCGCTTGAACAATTGGTACGTGGAGGACCCGTGGGACCAAGAAACCCAGGCCCACCGTAATGTCCAAAAAGTGCGCAAAATGCACCTGGCGATGAGACGGAGACTCCGCAGCTACGACTACGAACAAATCGATGCGAGCTCTCGAATCCCGGAAGTTTGTTGTCCGTTGCAGGGGATAATAGTGAAAGACTTCAAGGACACGTGTCCGATGGCGAACGACCTTCAATGTCCTTTCACGATGACTCGAACTAAGAGTCTCAACTCATCTCTTTTATTGATAATAACCGTAATGAGTTACTTTTATAGATTGACTATCATTATGCGTTACAATTGTGTGATTTCTTCTTCAGCATATGTTTTCCAAATTCTTCATTAAATTCAGATACTAGAACAATCTCAAGGCGACATGTCCTGTACGCAGTCTGCGTTCATGAGTATGATGGTGCTCTACCCTAAGAAGTTCGGCGTGCACAACGTCTGCAACGAAGACCTGGAGGCCTTCTGCCACATGTGGCGAGGACTGGGTTATCTTCTGGGCATCGAGGATCAGTACAATTTCTGTTGTGGCGGCCTGCAAGAAGTGCGGGAGCGCATCAAGAACTGTATCGAGTTCTGGTTAAAACCGTACTTGCGGTCGGTGACGCCGGAGTGGGAGCACATGTCGTTATGTCTCTACAGAAGTATGTACACCTTTGTACCGGTGCAAAATTACAAGACACACTTGCTGTACATCTGCGACATTTTCGAGTTGAACATGCCCCGTTTATACCGATCCATGAGCTTAGTGGAGAAAATGATGTACTCGTGGATGCACTTCCAGTTTGGCTACTTAACGAGGTTGCCTCTCGTCCATGCTTTCTTCAGCACAATATTGTTCTAGTATCTGAATTTAATGAAGAATTTGGAAAACATATGCTGAAGAAGAAATCACACAATTGTAACGCATAATGATAGTCAATCTATAAAAGTAATTCATTACGGTTATCATCAATAAAAGAGATGTTTGTGTTCATTAGAGTTATCCGAAAAATATGATTACATGGTCGTTGTTATCAAGCGAGAAGGCAATCGCTTCTTCCATCTATTCATTTATTTACTAGCTTATTTGTTTTGATATAGTTCTATAATTATATAATTCCTATTTCTATTTTGGCGCTACAAAGCTCGAGTTCGAGCCTGGACCGACTTTCTCTCTTTTACATATGCATGTGGTGCGCACCCAGATTGTACACATACATATGGGACCTACAGTTTAACGCCGGTTCCGAACGGCAGTTGGAGAGAAGTTTTCTTTGGCGTGTGGTTACTCTTTCTTGGTGGTTGGCCGGGACCACCGAAGACGAGCTACGAGCGTATGAAAATTTTTCTGATGCTGCCGGGGTCGACCCGGGACCTCTAAGCATAGTAGACTGGTGCGCTGTCTACCATACCACGCTCGCGCTCAATCATATAGTTAATAATGTATAAGTATAATATATAATTATTAATATATATTATATAATTGTATAATTAATATTTAGTTATCTGTGCGAATAAAAGAACGAGCCCATAATGTGATGCGGACCCACTTCATGTTGCAAAATGTGACGCTTCGAGGCACCGTATAAACCAATTATATTCTTTCTTTGAGCACTTAAAGCGTTTGCAGCTTCAATGGACTGTACAGGCTGTTGCATCAACATACGACCCATTACGACGGGTTGCCTGTCCAAAGGCGCGCGCGTCCAGATGATAACTTCGGATTTGTCGATATAGTCATACTTTTACCTTTTTGACGAAGTTGCAGCGTTCCTAATTATCAACCTAATTATCATAATAAAAAGAAAAAAAAGTATGCAAGTGACCGTTGATGTAACACCCTGTCCATGTGGCCTTCATTGCCTTCCATCTCCCCTCCCTCCTCTACTCCTACCGCAAATTTTTCTCAGCTGATACTTTTTAGTTGAGACTTGAACCTCATTTAGCGAAGACTCAAACCCCATTTTTGCCTTTTCTTCTCACCGTCAGATGGCGCCATGTGGTCTATTTACGCGTAGTCAATATTTACAGAATCTAACGAATTGGCTATTATTTCGAGGTATAGTTTTACATTCGACGAGTTTCCGCTTTTAACGAAATTTTGTGTTTTTAAAAGAAATCAATATTGTAACACGATATAGGCCGGTATTCGTAGTCGGATTTTAAATTTATGATTGCTTTAAGTTCATCTTCTGATGCTTTGTGGCCAATGAAATAAGTCGTAGAGCATCTGAAGATAAACTTAAATATAAGATTCAACTAGGAATACCGGCTTTGAAGTGCCGTTGCGCAGCTTTTCTGCCATATGTTGTAACTACGCAACAACAACGTAATGGTAACGAAACCGATTACTGAATACTGTGCCGGGAGGGGGGAGAGGATTCTGGATAATAATACGCCAATTGAAACACAATATTTCTAGTATGTCACTAAATCTTACTAGATGCAGCCCAAAGCAAGCACCGTGTGCCGGTACCGTGTGCATGATTTTATCAAGATTAAAAGCATACACCAATCAAATTCATAAATCTTACGACAGTTTCAAAATTGCTTTCTCTGCTACTAAATGCAGCCAATCTTTTTTAACTTTCGCTGCGTTCCGTTATTTACTGCCAGCACTAACAATTTACAGTATACGTAACATGAACTATAGATTTTCAGTATTAGCAGTGAATGAGTAATGAAAGTCCCTCTACACATAATTAATTTGTCGATCTTTAATTTCTAATTTGCAACTCTAATATCTAGTTTGAAATGAGTTTCGCGTATCGATTCACCGGTCGAACTCGAATGTAAATTGACGCCTCCAGATGGCAGCACACATTTCCGTGTATGTCCCTTTAACGTGTGCATCGTACGTGTATACTGGTTGATCAAAATGGTATGTATTTTATATCCAAAAATTTTATGTTAATCTTTAGACGAAATATACGATAATTATTTAATTACTTATCAATAACGTCTGATAAAGTACGTGTCGCTTATATAATTTCACAAGAATGAAAAGTCACGGATATTAAGACGTGTATTTCATGTAGTACATAACCTCACTGACAAAATTACATTCCTTGTAATTTCAACGTATATACAATTTCTCTCGAAATGTTTTATCCAATAATAATTTTAAGAACTATCAATTCAAATTTGTAACAGTTGCTAAAATTTGTCGTGCGTTGCAAACTGATTTTATAATTTAGCCCGATTGAGGTTATAGTTAATAAAAAACTTATCGGTATTGTTTTGATTGTTGCTTATAGACGGAAGGTACAGCTACTATCAGAACAAGGAAGTTTATGACCAATCGGCTTCTATGCCGAAAACAAATGGTGAGTTCTTAGAAAATATCCACAAGTAATACTTATTAGTCTATTGTTTATACATGCGATTGGTTACACATGTTGTTCCTAATGATACATATTTTACACGCTGAATTATATGTAATCTTATCTTATAGGTCGTAGATGTCATCCATCCAGGCCAGCCGTCGGTCCGGAAAACTGAAATCCGTGAGAAATTGGCCAAAATGTACAAAGTAACGCCAGATGTTGTCTTTGTGTTTGGTTTCCAAACCAACTTCGGCGGTGGCAAGTCCACCGGATTTGCACTTATTTATGATACCTTGGACTTTGCCAAGAAGTTTGAGCCTAAATACAGGTTAGCAAGGCATGGACTGTTCGAGAAGCAAAAACAGACGAGGAAACAGCGTAAGGAACGTAAGAATAGGATGAAGAAAGTGAGGGGCACCAAAAAAAGTAAAGTTGGTGCAGCTTCTAAAAAGGTAGGTGAATCAAAGTAAATTTTATTTATTGCATAGATATATAGTTACTTCTCTCTCTCTCTCTCTCTCTCTCTCTCTCTCTCTCTCTCTCTCTCTTTCTCTCTCTCTCTCTTTTTCTTTTTCTCTATTACTTGAATGTTAATGCTATAATTGGGTAAAGGAAAGTTATCTTTCATTGAATGCTTCTTTCTCGATATATAATCTAAATTTATGCATGCAGAAATAATGACTTCTATACAATGGGCTTTGGCTTTAATATATCTAAATTATTATAGTTTTGTCCTATATATACATTATATTTGGTATGGATATTGTTTTCATTTAAATAATTTTAATATATTAATGCAAATCTTTGTTTTAATTATATATCGAAGATGCAAGAGTATCTCATTGCTGATATAATTTAATGATTATTGTTTAAATTCATAAAAATTCTGTATTTGATCTCTATTATGCATGCTACGGTGGTATACGCTTGTTATTCACATTCTAGGGGAGGAAGTAGACAAATGCTCATTTGCACTACAGACTTCTGGAGGGGCAGTATCTTATTTATGATGTTTATGGTCAGCATGCAAATCTCTAAGTTTCAATATATTTTTCTTTCATATTAATTATATATATATGAGCATGCTATTAAATTTTTTAGCGCTTTAATAAGAAAGTATCATTATTTATTTATTTTTGGGGCTCGTTTCGTCGCATTATTTACCACTAATAAATCACATACAATATTTCACATATGCATTAGATATCACACCAAGAGATACATGCTTGTCTCTGACCGCATGCATCTAAGATGTAAATGATACATTTGTGTTTTTGTGTAAAGCATAGAGTATAGAATATATTCTAGAATATTCTCTAGAGGCAGGTTTCATTATTTATCTCGTATATATATATTTGTCATTTGGTAATTTAATTCGAAGTTTGTTACTTGATATTGGAAATTAAATTGGATATTGGAAATTAAATAACAAATTTGTAATTAAAAAAATTTATATTATAACAATTCCCTGAGGTTTGAGATATAATAAAATTTAACTTCAGCTTATATAAATGAGTATATTCAGATTTTTTCCAAAAAATTGTAGTTTTGAAGAGAGTTTGGGGGCTCCACTAAATAAGATATGAAGCAATAAATTATTAATAATAATTTTCTTTTATTTCAAAATATATTATGTGTATTGAGTGTGCAATCTGAATTAGTATAAAGGTAAAAGTGTAGTAAGAGGTTACTAATAATACTTGTACGTCAATTTGGAATCATTTCACGTTACATGTTAATGAGCATTGCGTATTTTGTCCTTAGTTATAGAGTTATTATTCCGGAGAATAATGCTTTAAATGTTAGTGAAATAAAGTATAAGTAATGCGTGTGACGTATCAAATAGCTAGCGCAGTTTGTGTAGATATTAGAATTTCAAAATAATCTTTCACGTGTGCATGCCGTACGCAGTTGATTTTAGCAAAGTTTAAATTATTTGATTCACGTCTGAATAAAGCAATTTTCTTTTTCATTACAGTAATACCCGCAAGCCTTTATGAAGATTATGGTTCTCCCATCGTCGACGTAAAACTTATTGTTAATTATGACATTTTTACCTTTGCTGTAATTATAATAAATTTTACGTAATAAAGGCAAGACTCTTCTATATGTAAACTCCCATTTGTTACACGTTTGGCCGTTCGATATCTCGCGGAAACATGAATCTCAATTTATCCAACCAATTCCCTTACGACACGTATCTTACGCATAAGTCCAATTCTCGCGTATATTTCTATCATCTTCTAATCACCCATTTCTCAGATCCCTCCGTAGCATTCTGGCCAAATGTTTACATCCACTGCGAGGTGCGTGCTACCATTGACTCGTTTTTTGGCGTTAGTTAATCGACCTACATTATGACCTCGACGGATGACCGACGAGGTTTCGGCCTTTTCGTAGGTTTCTCGATGGTCTCGTTGTCCTCGATCCGTTTATTGACCACCGGTAGAGGTAACTCGAATGTCGTTGCGGGTGATTCGGTGGTAGTCGTTTCTCCGGGCGCTGGCGTCACGGTCGATTCGCCGATGATCATCGGCGTAGAGGATGTTACGTCCGGTTCGGTGAAAATCGTCTCAGCGGAGGACGTTGCACTTGACTCCCATTCGCCGGTGGTGGTCACGATCGACTCGGTGGTGGACGGTGCGACGCGTATTGTTGTTGATTCAGCTGACACGATTGGCTCGGTGGTGGACGCTGCTGCGATCGATTCGTTGGTGGCCGGCCGGACGGTCGATTCGCCGCCGTTAGTCACGTCGGATTCGTTGAAAGTCGAAATTTCCTCGGTCGATTCGGCGGACTCCGTCGTAGACTCCGCGACGGACACGTCGGTCGTGCCGACGGCGTTGGCAGTGGTCGGCACCGGTGGTGGTTCTTCAGTCCGAGCCACAGTCTGGGTCGTTTGCTCTCGTATTGTGGTGGATTCGGTTCTCGGGCTTACGGTCGTTGGAGATTTCGGCGAACCCCCGAACCCGTTTATATTGGTCCAGTCGAAGTCCGGGAAGGTGGGTAGGGCCGGTAACCAAGACTTGAAATCCCATTCGTCCGTGTCGCAGTCCGGGCCGTATTTATCCCCTGCAACTTTCCGGATGATGTACCAGTTACCTAAGTGGACGCCCCAATCTCGGCTTGGGTCGAGGGATACGTTAGCTATCGTCAGTGAGAAGGAAAACAAGTAATAACAATATTGCGATAAGAAACGCGTTAAACGCGGAACCGAGTGTTTTGAGGGAAAGGAAGGAATGAAGGAGCAATCGAATATCGGGAGGATGCTCGGCTGCGGTCGAAGCTTCTGGGGAAAATTACTACTGTTCGCGCTAATTGCGTCCCTCGCGTAAGATTCCGGCGAGTGACGCGTTATATAAATCATCGAAGTCGACGGTGCTTCCGATTATGCTCCTCAGCGGGGCATAAACACACGATTTAACGATTCCACCGCGCGCTCCCAAGCTGCGGCGGGGAGAGCTTAAAGGTGGAGTACTGATCCGACTCGGTCACGGGAAAAAAAATTCTCACCGCGTTATCGAGCAACGTTGCGCTTACACAGGTCCAATAACAGCCCCGGGTAACCCTTTATGCCTCTCTCCAGGCTCTTGTCGATGTTCAGAATATCCTGCGGCGGGAAACTCGGGGCCGGCGTCTCGTCGGCGAACCACTCCTGCCATTTCCCCACGATTCGGTTCTTCAGCATTCGGAACCAATCCCGTATCGACTCGCCGAAGCCGGCCGATCGATATCTACCGGGAGAACCCGCACCATCTAGAACGAACGTCGGGATTATCATGAATAGAACGTCGAGCGCAAGCGGGCAGCGATACAAAGCGCACGGATTATAACCAGCAAAGTGGTTGCTTCAGTTCAACGTGTTGTTTTGTTCCATCGTTGTTTCATCTGACAATTTGCATTCCGGAACGCGAGCCGGACTATTGTGTACGCAAATCGCGAGTCTCATCGAAGCTGGCCGCGGTACCAGCAAATCCCACGTGTGCTGAGCCTCATCGCAAGGTATATCAAGTTAATTCCAACGTAACAACGTCGATCCCTCGGATCCGATCAAGTTCGTCCCATTTTTTCCGTTATACTACTCGCAACGCCAGAAACATATCATCGTATCCCTTTGATCCCTTCACGAATCGTTCGTGAATCACACAACGCGACGCTATCACGGGACAAAACGGACACGCATCGAACGATCGTCAGGGTCGTATCCGATTGAGAATCGTGTAATTACGATCGAAGGACTCGGCGCAGACGCGGGCTTCCAATGTCCAGGCTTACTCGAGAGACCTCTCCGAGACAGCGCAAACTTCTAAAGTACATCTCCAGTACGACCCGTATTGATAGTCCCCGCTTGAAACTTCGTATCAAGTGAAATGCCCGGATCTTTGAGTTTAGCGTTCGATGGGAAATTTTCCCTCACTTTTCAATGTCACGATTACATTATAAAATGCCACGTGTATCAACCAGCCTGCGAACGAATTCGCATCTGGCTCCCGATTTAAGCGTCGTCGCGTGAAACAGATCTTTAGCGAGGACGATTAATCCGGGCTTTAGAAGTTTGTGTTGTCCGAGTTGAAGCTGCATTCCATCTACACCTCATGTTTGTCGGCTCGGTATGTGCTCATTGAGCCGTACAGATCGCGAAGTAACGGCGTAACGACGCGTACTGAGTACGACAGCTGCCGGCAAGGCGCAACAGCCTGTCAAGGCCGCTCTCTGTAACGCATTTAAGGTCGATGTCGCTTTCGTTATCGTCACGTGGCTTTTCTCGTCAGCACAGCACAGCTGAAAACATGACAGAACAGGCAACTGTTCGAGAAGCTGGCACGTAAGCTCAATCGATCCAACTTCGATCTCTTCGAGCGAGGGCCCTTCTTCTGGACGCACCTTGGCACTGAACCTTGCCTCGTTCAAGCTCCGTCTTTCTCGCAATGAACGTCACGTGTTACTTCAAGAGAAAAGCCTTCAGCCTGAGAATCGAAGCGGCATGTTCGACACCATATGCGTCCAGAGGATGCGAACTCTGAACTCTTCGATTTTCCTTCTCGCCGCGAGACACCACGCGCACGCACACATACGCCCGTACGTAGAACCGAGGTCGGTGTTCGACCTGAATGCAATCGTCCACACGCTACTGTACTCTGCAAGGGCACCTTTGTCGAAGATCGGTGTCGACGTGGCGAGCTGGCAGGAGATGAGCAACAGCAGCAGTGACCGCATCAGCGATGCGCCGCATAGTGGCCGCATTTTGCCGGACAAGCGCTATTCTGCGTGCAGGTGTGGGAGCGTGTGCGGCTTTATATGTTCTCCGGCGGAAGTACATGATGGCATGACGATAATAGTCATCGTTAGTGCCGCGCACAATTTTATCCGGAGGGGGGGAATCGAGCTGGACGAAATCGCGCGACGACTAACCGTCGCCGTTTTAACCAGCCCCGATTCGACCTTCGCGTTTCGACGCCTGATTCGGATCCTCCGATTGGATCCTGATGACCTCCGCGAAGTGTCCGACTCAACACCGGGGGAATCCAACCTCGGACTCGCCGCGGCCGGCGAAACGCGCAAGATCGGTCGCTCGTTCCGCGAATCCCCGTATCGCGATATCACGCTATTGTGTACGCGCGGGTGCTGTTACGTATGAACAAATTACATGGACGGCCGTTGTGTGCCGGCGTTACTCACTCGGACTGGCAAATCCGGCAATCTCGCCACCGGCTATCAATCCGTCCAGCAAACCGTTGATTCGCAGTTTTAGACCGGTTTTACCGCGCATTTACGACCCTCGCTTCGAGATCCGTCCAAACGTTATCGTCCCGATTTGAGGAGTCTATCACTGGTAGGGCAAGTGGGCGGAAAGTCACGAAAAGCACGTGATCGAATATTTCGGGGACGAAGGAAGGAGCATGCGCGGTATCCCTTTGAGGAATACGGTTCCCTTCCTGCTAACGGAGACGGGTTCTGTTACGAGCGCTGAACAATTGTCTATAGGCGAATGTTAAACGTGCACGACGAAGAGGGAAGAGCAAGTTTGACGTTCTCGAGAAGCTGAAGTCCCTCGCTCTCGCGTGTCTCCGACGCCGCACTTCTTCTTTTCCCGTCTTGGTTGAGAGCTGGCAAAAGTTGGTTGGATCTTCTCGATGGAGGATATATTGGAACGGTATATGTCCGTTCAAAGTTCGTCCTAATCATTTCCCGCCACCTTCCGCCAGGTAATCGCCCGATTCCGCGTTCGAGTCATCTTTCGAGCCGAGATCAACGGCGAGCCTCATCCGACCGACTGTGATTCACTTCTGTGAAAGCCCCTAATAAATGATAATAATAAAGGGAAATCTCAAGGACGCTTAGTTCTTCGTAAACGACGAATGACGAAACGGACGCATCGATGATGTGTCGCGAGTTAAACGAAGGCCCCGTGAATTTGTTATCGACGCGACACGACGAAAATTCGTCCCTTCTCGTTACGAGAAGGATGTCGGGACTGATGAAGTCTTAGAACGAAGCTACGTTTAATAGCCGATGAACCCAGCAAACATCGTCCGACAGTAACATATGTTATATTATATTAATATAATTTAATATTATAATTTCCCACTCAACAACGTTATTGTTACACGACACGCGTGCGTTATGTTGCATTCACATTGTTGAGTGGAAAATTGTAACATTGATATTATGTTAGTTAGCGTTTGCTGGAGATTGTATACACGCTTCCCCCTTGTTTTCCCGTTATTCTCTAGACACTCGATCGAGTACGTTTCCATTTGGTCCGCCCCCGCATATTCTTGATAACATTAATATCCATTTAAGCTACTATTAACATCTATTTAGCTAATAATAACATCTATTTTCGAGACGTAACCCTTAGACAAACGATGTGAAGTGGCACGCAGCCTGAACTGAACTGAAAATCCGTCTTTTAGCTCGGTGGTCAGTTCGTGCGCGCTTCTATCGGATATTGTCAATTGTTCAGGAAACTTTGTCAATTGCTCAGGTAATTAATATCAATAATGAAAATGTCCTTACTCAGCGGATACGAGTCAAGTATTTCACTTTTTCATTGGATTGGCTTTGAGCCGGCCCTACAGACTATAGTATAAACTGTTCTCGAGTACTATATTCTTATATCCTCTTTGGGGCAAACTGGAAGAAACGACTCCACTTACAACGTAGGAGAAGTTCAATGTCTCAAAGGTGAGAAAAATGTATCGGTACTGATTACGATTGAAGAACGAGTGTACCACTTAAGCGGTCACCGTGTGAGTCACGTTACATTTCCTCCTCAGCGAGAAACGAAGCTTCGAATCGGCGCGGAATTGACGTCGAAATAATCGGAATTCCATCGAAATGACGTCGACTCGATGTTCATTTTCTGCTCGGGGGAAGAAACGTGATACAATTGTTAATAACCGTCATTTCACGCCCTAAAAAGGGGACTCTTCGCGATTCCCCCTTTTCACCTCTCTTCCCTCACAATAAGTACAGAAACGAGACACACGACTGATACGACCGTCGAACCAACTTGACTCCGCCGGAGCATCAGCCAGCTCGTCCAATTTCCTCAGAGAGTGGACCCGTACCGTGCGCCGACTTGCGAGTGGAAGAAAGATGAACCTATATGAATCCTCGTTCGCACTCTCGCTTGCCTGCGCCAGCAACCTCAACGTGGCCAGTCAGTGTGGTTAGGACCACCTCCGCGGTCGTCACGTCCTCACCTTCGCCGAATACTCGCTTTTCGATCTACTTCTACCCGGGATTCGCCATCACCAATCCTATCCTACCAACTAATCGCTTACTGTGCGCATGAGTCCGCGGCATGAGATAACGGGCATTGGCGTGACTGTCCATTCGGGACTTAACGGCGAGGTTGGGCTACGTTCCACACAGCGACCGTGCGGCAGAGATCGTGCTGGCTCATCGCTAAGCGTTTCAGGTGAGTGTTCCGTCGATAGCACTTGGGGATCTCATCTCTCGAGGCGAAGTCAAGTCGTATCGTACGCGGGATACACGCGCACTTCATGTGGATATTACATGCGGCTTGGGTATCTCGAACTTCGTAAACAGTCGCAATGTGTGCCGTGGACACACATTACGCCGAAATAATTGACACGATCCGGGCTAAGGTAAGGGGCCTCATCGGGGGGGGGGGGGG